GGCAGAATTATCTCACATACTAGACCCCTGCTAAGTATTTCCTCCCAGATAAGTGTTTCCTCTGCTCAGCTAGAGCAAAAGGTCTGAACCCATTTACTTTGCTCAGGTCCTGGCTGCCTGGATCCATTTATTCAATTCATATCAACTGTTAATACCCTCATTGTTTATTTGCTGTTAATGCCAGCCTCAGCTTTTATCAGTTTACATTTTGTTGTGGATGGGATATAGTTTTTACGTCTTAGTCAGCTTGTCATACATTTTCCCCACTAATCGTTATTTGGAGTTGTTTAATGAATCTGTGCTTTGGTTTTAGAGTATAGATCACTGGTAATACTGTAGAAGGGATAACCAGTTTCATTCTGTCCTTCTATGTTCTTGCTACTTCACATAGCAAGAATTGATTTAAAACTGTTGGGTTACAGTTGAGTTACGAGTAAAAAATAAGTTCATCCTCTGAAAAGGAAAATGCCTCACTAATGTCATGGTTGGTTTTTTGGTTTCGGCCAACATGTTTGTGAATTCAAAGCCTAATCATTTATTGTTTATCTTTTCACATGCTGATACAGTTTCAGAGACAATAATTATTTCATTTTCTTTTAGCAAATGGTACCAGACTATGGCATGGCATGGAGATAATAATCTCCTGACAACTGCTTTGATTTTTAGCTCTGTTTGAAGCCACATAACTTACTTAATGAACCAAAATTCCTGCCTTGAGCTTTAGCCAATCAACCTCTTATCAGTTTTGTGTTTATTACTTTTGATGGTTAAAACATGTAATTTGTACAAGGTACAAGCTGGACTCCAGATTGCATCCATCACCTCACCTGATTTGGATGCAATGCCATTGAGATCATAAAGCCTCCCAGCAGGGAGCGTGCGCAAGAATGCCAAGAGGGGATAATGCCAAAGTTAACAGACAAAGTTAAGCACACCCACACAGTGCACATGCAAAAGGCACATAGGCACAGGTATACAACCTGAGCCCTACATTTGACATCCAATATGGGATCCAAAAGGATTGGTTCACACTGTGTTCCAGCTTCTCACTGTTAACAGTCACTCAACCACTACTGATCTTGTCAGTAGTGGTTGCACTTTGCACTCTGGCACTTAACATTTCTGCAGTGTTTTTCACCTGTATTAACTTATTATTTACTTGTTACTGAATTACTTGTCGATGCATCTATGTGGGGGAAAATGCGAGTCGCTTTTGACAAAAGCACATGCCAAAATAGCTAGGTTTACCTGTTTCTATTTTTCATTCATCAATAGGTAATTTCTCTGAAATCAGGACCACATAAAGTTTTGCTTTAGCCACACTCTCTCCCTTCCTTGAGCTCTCTCCCCTCCCTACTTTCAAAGAGACAGAAAATGGGCAAATGCTTCTTTGTGTGTCAGGTTGGGGGGAGTCTTTCCAGCAGTGAAGTCACATTGGGAGGGTGCTTACGAAGCAGAGATACAGCATGAAGGATGAGAGGGAAAACAAAAAGTTTGACCTTCTGGCCACGATCCTAGTATTTTTTTTAGTCTTTCTCAAGTTAGCTTGAGGGTAGTAGGATAATACAGTATCACTGTGTTGTGTTTATTCATTCAAGAATGAACGAGGGAGAGAGAGAGGCCTAAAAAGAGC